CCTACATCAGTGAGAGTGACTTGAACGATGGTGAATTAATTCTTGCAGAACCTGATGCATTGATGGATGAACATTTGCTTATTGAACATTTCAAGGGTGCTTCATGGGCATACCTTACAGATGAGGCTGAGAAAGACTACGTATTTGAAACCATGGCTACCTGTGGGCCTACAACTGTGTCACGAGACGTCCATGGAAAACGTCCGCTAACTTGGCGTCTTAAAACAGCAGCCCTGGAAACAACATTGATCGCCACAACCTCCATTTGTGTTAAGTGGCTGGCATCAGAGACTATCGTCATGAATTCAAAGCAGCGACCACGACATCGTCTCAAGCGTAGACTGGCCAACTAGAGAAGAGGGGGCGACGCCGCAGAATACTGTGCAGATGGCCTCGTGGGCAACAGGCTCCCTGCCGTCTGTGGCTCCCACCGATCGACCTCCACCTGATCCGGCAAACCTCCACAGCACTGTTTCTTTTCGGGACGAAAAGCTCTAAGAAGAGGGCAATGTTATAACTCTGCCATTCGCACCGCCATCTAAGCTAGAAGGTGCGTACACTGTGATAAACTAGACTGAAAAAGGATGTCAACATTAGAAGAGGAGAACGATTTCCGCCCAAGTAAAGAGCCAATATGGAGAGATTGTGCCTAAGATAGATGTTGTTTTGTGTACCTGTGATGTCGTGTGAATAAACGTCTATGTCTCGTTGAGTTGCCTCACTTAAGTTATTACAATATATATATAAATATATCTATATATATATATGTATATCTATATATATGTATATATATATATATATATAAATATATATATATATATATATATATATATATATATTAGGGTGGTTCACAATGCATAAGTAAAAAATAAAAGTTGAAAAATTGCTAGTGCTTCATACAAATTGTGTTACCTGTGCTACAGAGACCTTAAATATAAAATATAACTCCATTTGAAGTTAATTTAGTACTGCCTCAAAGCACCTGAATTTTTTGTTTGGTCCCAAAAAATCGATATTATTTCCAGCTTAAAGATCAAATTGAAGACTGGTCAACTGTTACTTATTTTTTGGAAGTACAAAGAATATTTAAGTTTTAAAAAAGTAAACAACTCCATTTTGATTTTACTGTCTACAAGTTTTTAATATTTGTCTTAATTTTCATTTATTTCTAGGAGGTATTGGCTATTGATTTATTAGAGACAATTTTTTAAAATGGCTGTTACAAGATCTCAGACATATGTTCATCTGATTGTCGAACCAGTACAGTTATTTAATGGAAATATGCTACCAACAACTAGAGAAGTTTTACAAGTCTACTATCATCATCACAATAATGAAAAACTGTCTAAAACTGAATCAGTTACAGTTACTGTTAGAGAGGTTTGCGAGATATGGGCCAGAGCAAGAGTACCATCAGCTGAAGAAAGAAATATTATCCACAAGCTAAAACTTCTTGTTGATAAACACAGAACTGTCTGTCGCAATAAGACCTGTGGTGGCACAGCTCAGATGGCAAGGGAGTCAAATTTTGAAGCTGATATGAATGGCCTGTTTGATATTGCTCATCATGATGCGATGAACTGAATAAAAATTGAAGAAGATAGGGTTTTTCTGGTTGATCAAAGAACAGAAAGAAAGTATGTCATGGGTAAAATAGACCAGCAGCTTACAGCAGTAGAAGGTCGACGAGCAGTAAGAATACAAAGAGAAGCTGAACTGAGGACCAAAGAAGACAGGAGGCTAAATGATTTAGCTCAGGCAAGTGCACCAGCATCGGCAAGTTTGAATAATGGTGACACCAGTGACATTAGTGATCTTGAAGAAAATAGTGCAGAACTCAGTGACTACAATCCTGAATGCTAATCATCAGACAGTTCAGACACACAAGGTCAAACACAGCAAAAGCGTGCAAAAATATCTGTAAATGAAGCTGTAAGTCCACAGTTAGCTGCAGCACTAGATCGTACAAGTGTCAGCAATCGAGATGCTGCATATATTCTATATGCAGCAGCTACGACTTATGGACAAAATGCATCAGGTATGTCCTTGTCTGTCAGCAGCATCAGAAGATCAAGATCAAAGCATCGTACTCAAGCAGCTGCTGATGTGAAGTCTGCATTCAACAGAGATGGCCCACTGGTTATACATTTCGATGGCAAATTGCTTCCTTCAATAGCTGGCGGTCCAGGAAAAGAAGATCGCGTAGCAATCATTGTAACAGGTCGTACAACTGAAAAGCTTTTGGCTATTCCAAAAGTTGTACAAGGTACAGGTGAGCAAATAGCCAAAGCTGCAGCAGAAACCATCATTGATTGGGAGCTGACTAACAGCATTGCAGGAATGTCATTTGATACAACTGCAGCAAACACCGGCCATCTCAATGACGCAAGTGTGCTACTGGAGCAAAAACTAGGCAAAGAACAGCTATGGTTGGCTTGCCGAAACCACGTCCTTGAAGTCCTATGCAGCGACATTTTTAAAAAGGTGTTTGGCCCAACATCAGGGCCAAATGTGATATTATTTCGCAGATTTCAAGAATTTTGGCCAAATATTGACCAAGTGGCATACAAACCATGTGCAGACACCCGCCTAATGACTGAAAGTCTAGCAGTGCTAAAACAGGAAATATTGAAATTTTGTCAGGACATTTTGACTGGTAACGGGAGAAATTCCAAGAGAAGACTACAGGGAACTATTAGAGCTGACCATGATTTTTCTGGGACAGACACCACCTCGTGGCATTCGATTCCGTGTACCTGGGGCTTTCCATCATGCCAGATGGATGTCACAGTTGCTGTATGTTCTGAAGCTGAATTAGTTTCAGGAACAGTTTAAGCTCAGTCGACATGAGAGCACAGCATGCATAGAATTTGGACTGTTCACAACATTGGCGTATGTCAAAGCGTAGATATCTTGTATGTCACCTTGTGATGCTCCTATAAACGATCTGTCTCTTATTCAAAGTCACCAACTATCGTACCACTTCCAAGATCATTGCAGACACAGGAATTGCGGCACTTGGACGCCATCTATGGTACTTGGGACAAGAACTCGTGCCACTTTCTCTGTTTTCTGACCTTGTTTCAGCCGAGGTCAAGACAAGAATGGCATCTTGTTTATAACTGCCAGCGAACAGGAAACATCTTCAAAAAGGTAAATGAAACACACTATCAAAGAAGAACTCGGTGATAAGAAACTTGATTATTTTATTGGAAGCAGATCACACTTCTTCTTTCAGGTCTTGAATCTCGACAAATCGTTACTGAACTTGTCTGTTGAGCAGTGGTCACAGCTGGAAGCGTACCAACACGCAAAGGTGGTTGCCCATTCACTAAAAGTTGTTAATGACTCAGCAGAGAGAGGCATTGCATTGGCAACTAACTTCAACAAGTCATTAACAAAAAAGGAAAATGAAATGCAGTACTTGTATCAGGTTGTTGAGTCACACCGTAAACGTACCCAGATGCAAAGAAGGCAACACTCAAATCAATTAATGAACAATGAACAGTGTTGTAGTGTTTTATGTTACTTAACTGGTTCTGTGTGCAATGCATTTATATTTTAATAGTTGAAAGCTCAACATTGTTCTGAGTTTATGTTGCGTAAACGAAAAAGGCCGTTATTGTAATTTTCAAATTCAATTAGGCAGTACTGATTACTGAATGAATGTTAAATTTCAGAGTCTGTGAACATTTTGTTGACTGCTTGGAACTCTCAGTACATTTATAATTTCAATGTGGAAACCTCAACATTTTTCTGGCTTAATGATACAATAACGAGAAAATCGGCATTTATCACCATTTTTAATCCTCATGAGGCTGCAGCAAATGATGATAGAATGACTCAGTTTTTGTTGATATTTCATTATCTCATGACATATAACAGAAAAATCAAAAAGCACTACAAGTTACTAAAAAAAATTTTTTTTGAACCACCCTAATATATATAGGTACAAAAGGTCGCCCACCTCTGATATAGATCACAGAAATGCATTTCACTGATCTAAAAAAAATCTTTACTGACATCTCAATGATTGACCTACTATTTACCGCGCTGTGTCTAAAAAAATTTCGTCTTTAGCGCCCATGACCAGTAGTGGACTTACGAATTGTGTTTGCTCAACTCCTGAGAGTTATCTCCCACGATGAACTGTATCCTATTGCACTGTATTAGTCATTACAAAGTTTATACCAACTTACTCTGTCTGTCTGTCTGGTTAAAAATTTGAACACTGTTATTTCTTCTATTTCCCATTCTCGGATCAAGTTAAAACTTTGCACATTATTCATTGAACCTGACAAGACATGAATCAATAAAAAAAATACAATTAGTTAATTAATTGTTGATGACTAATTATTTTGTTGGATTTCAAAATAAGGGGAATAAATTATACTTAATGAGAGATGATATATATATATATATGAATTTACTCCCCTTATTACGTTTTGACACGTTTTTTCTACCACTTCCCATTCTCAAATCAAGTTGACATTTTGCATATTTATAGTCGATAACACATACACAAATCAACTAAAAAAATTAACCAATTAGTTAAGCATTTAGTAATAAATTAATTTTGTTTTATAAAGCAGAAAAGCTAAACTCTGTAATTTTCAGATACATGGTGGTACTTAGAGTTTATTTCCCCTTAGATATGCTTTGGTTTCAAAAAGTATTCTTTTATGTATTGCGTTTTAGTTGTTTTTTTATTCTATTTGTCTGTTTGTCCAATCAAAAAAAAAAGATAACACTATTACTAATGATAATACAATCAAGTGACTACAGTGCTTATGTCAGCTTGGATGTAATACAATCAAGTGACTAGACTGCTTATGTCAGCTTGGATGTAATACAATCAAGTGACTAGACTGCTTATGTCACCTTGGATGTAATTCAATCAAGTGACTACACTGCTTATGTCAGCTTGGATGTAATTCAATCAAGTGACTACAGTGCTTATGTCAGCTTGGATGTAATTCAATCAAGTGACTACAGTGCTTATGTCAGCTTGGATGTAATTCAATCAAGTGACTACAGTGCTTATGTCAGCTTGGATGTTTCCACATGGCATTATTGTGGTACGTTGTGACGTCATACAAGTCTGAACGTGTTTAGTTGAAAAAATAACGTATACAGCAGTCATTGCAATTTCATTTTTGTTTTGTTTTCTTCGCTGCATAAATGTATAAATAATTCACGCAAACAGATCCAGCATTGCATCTTTGACATTCTCTGAAATCCAAATTCCCAAAAGTAAGACGTTTGATGATAAGTTGAGAAAAATTCATAATTACATCAATTACTCAAGGGGGGGGGCGTTCTAAACAAGCCCATTTTTTTTTAAACAACAGATTTCAACTCAAATTCCCTCTCGGTTGAGAAGAAAGAAAGAAGAAGAAACAAGTAGAGCGTTTAAAAAATGTTAGAAAAAAAGAAAACAGAATGTCTCTCCATCTATTCTGAAGAATTGAATTCATGTTTATCTGAACCAAGTGAATGTCTCTCCATCTATTCTGAAGAATTGAATTCATGTTTATCCAAACCAAGTGAATGTCTTTCCATCTATTCTGAGGAATTGAATTCATGTTTATCCAAACCAAGTGAATGTCTCTCGATCTAGTCTGAAGAATTGAATTCATGTTTATGCAAACCAAGTGAATGTCTCTCGATCTATTCTGAAGAATTGAATTCATGTTTATCAAAACCAAGTGAATATCTCTTGATCTATTCTGAAGAATAGAATTCATGTTCATTCGAACCGAGTGAATGTTTCTCGATCTATTCTGAAGAATAGAATTCATATTTATCCGAGCCAAGTGAATGTCTCTCGATCTATTCAAAAGAATTCAATTCATGTTTATCCAAACCAAGTGAATATCTCTTGATCTATTCTGAAGAATAGGATTCATGTTTATCTGAACCAAGTGAATGTCTCTCGATCTATTCTGAAGAATAGAATTCATGTTCATCCGAACCAAGTGACGTACTGAAGGCAGGAACTCAAGCTTGGTAGCTACTGACACAATTGTAATGAGTCTAGATTTCAATGTAAATCATGAGAACTCAATGATTTCATCCCCATTCAGCAGTGAGCCATCTGAAAGATCATGTTAATCTCAACTTTTTCAATGTCCGACGGATGAACAAACATGTCATGTGGTCAGCACAACCTACTTTACCTCCACAACGCTTATGTTACCTATTAGAGTTGTGTGGACTAGGGGGCGAATTCAAAATCCGAGTCTTCAGCATTTTCGATTTCGAAACAATCGTTTAAAAATCGACTTTACTTTACAGCCAAACGTATACTTATAAAGTGTTGTGTTTGTTTCCTTCGGAATCTGTGTTTAAATGTAGGTAAAATAAATGTCAGACAGAACAACAAATTGATTTTAATCTTAAAACAAATGATGGTTTTCACTTTTCACTTTTTTAAGCACGGGCTCGCGATAATTAGACAATGCATTGTTATTTGACATTTACGAATTAGCGAGCACTTGCAGTTCTGCTGAAGTCACGTGAGTTGATTGATCAAAAAGAACTAAAAAACGTATGGATTTTGAGGCCAAAGGAGAGATTGAACCATACAATAGGACGAGAAGTAAAACCTTAAACTGTATGTTGTATAATAATGTTATTCGAATGATTTTATTCAATTCAAAGTATCTTGGATCATCACATTATATTCAGGAGGTTAGAGATACAGCAACTCCCAAAAGAAGTTGATAGAACGGGAGAGAGTAAGAGTGATAGAGAGAGAGTGGGAGAGAGTAATCAATAATTGTGTCATTCATTACCTTAGTTTAATATGGATTTTTTTTTACTTTACAAAGAAGAATTAGAGTTCACAGCAAGTAGCCATCACAAATATTGTTTCGTTGCATGAAAATTAATAAGATGTTAATGAATTTTTTTTTAAATGCTTTTTAGATTCTGTGTAGAAACCAGCTGATACTATCGTGCTTCGCTGATAACATATGGTCGTGAATTACCTCATGCAACCTCTAAACACACACACAATAATCTCATGTTTATCCGAACCAAGTGAATGTCTCTCGATCTATTCTGAAGAATAGGATTCATGTTTATTGATATATATATCAAACGTGTTCCTTCACACGGTCATAACCAAAGTACAGACAAACATTAGTATATCATGTTTATATTTCGTAGTGCCCTGACGGCACCTACAATGGCCATTTTTGCAGACTTGAGAGTTCAATTCACTGTTTGTTTGATTGTTGTTTTGTTGTTGTTTTTTACTAAAATGAAATAAAGGAAATGTCATTTGGTGTTATTAAAATTTTATTTACTCTTTGACTCATTTGAAGGAACAAAGCCATCTTTTTTTTGGAAAATTTTACATTAGGTAGTTTATGGGACTTACTTCCCCTGTTATTGTATAATGAAAACTAGTTTATATAATTGTGCCTATGTGTCTGAACAGAAGCAGCCTTAGGGGTGGCAAGTGGGGCAACCACTTCAAACCTCGCGACTAAGGGGGAGCCCGCGATAGGAGATTTCCTTGTCACTGTCAGGTTCGAAAAACAAGACCAGTTCTCATAAACTAGAACTTGTTGCTTAATAGTTTCTGGCAACAATATGATGCCATGTACTATTTAAACTCTTAAAATGACATGGTACAATATATACAGTCTTCCCTTACGGCTCAGGGCCCCGCATTTGACATTCGCCCAGGGCTCCGACCACTGCTTGGGCCGCCTCTGTGTCTGAAAATAAATCAAAGTTTGATAATAATAATAATAATAGTTTGTAATTAAATAGGGGGGGGGGGGGGGCTACTACATAGTATTTTCGTTTCGTTTTTCTTTTTCAACGAAATGTAAATAACACTGCACGGCTGCCGCAATCCTGCTCTAAATGTAAATAACCCCGCACGGCTGCCGCAATCCTGCTCTAAATGTAAATAACCCCGCACGGCTGCCGCAATCCTGCTCTAAATGTAAATAACACTGCACGGCTGCCGCAATCCTGCTCTAAATGTAAATAACACTGCACGGCTGCCGCAATCCTGCTCTAAATGTAAATAACCCCGCACGGCTGCCGCAATCCTGCTCTAAATGTAAATAACCCCGCACGGCTGCCGCAATCCTGCTCTAAATGTAAATAACACTGCACGGCTGCCGCAATCCTGCTCTAAATGTAAATAACACTGCACGGCTGCCGCAATCCTGCTCTAAATGTAAATAACACTGCACGGCTGCCGCAATCCTGCTCTAAATGTAAATAACACTGCACGGCTGCCGCAATCCTGCTCTAAATGTAAATAACACTGCACGGCTGCCGCAATCCTGCTCTAAATGTAAATAACACTGCACGGCTGCCGCAATCCTGCTCTAAATGTAAATAACACTGCACGGCTGCCGCAATCCTGCTCTAAATGTAAATAACACTGCACGGCTGCCGCAATCCTGCTCTAAATGTAAATAACACTGCACGGCTGCCGCAATCCTGCTCTAAATGTAAATAACACTGCACGGCTGCCGCAATCCTGCTCTAAATGTAAATAACACTGCACGGCTGCCGCAATCCTGCTCTAAATGTAAATAACACTGCACGGCTGCCGCAATCCTGCTCTAAATGTAAATAACACTGCACGGCTGCCGCAATCCTGCTCTAAATGTAAATAACACTGCACGGCTGCCGCAATCCTGCTCTAAATGTAAATAACACTGCACGGCTGCCGCAATCCTGCTCTAAATGTAAATAACCCCGCACGGCTGCCGCAATCCTGCTCTAAATGTAAATAACACTGCACGGCTGCCGCAATCCTGCTCTAAATGTAAATAACACTGCACGGCTGCCGCAATCCTGCTCTAAATGTAAATAACACTGCACGGCTGCCGCAATCCTGCTCTAAATGTAAATAACCCCGCACGACTGCCGCAATCCTGCTCTAAATGTAAATAACACTGCACGGCTGCCGCAATCCTGCTCTAAATGTAAATAACACTGCACGGCTGCCGCAATCCTGCTCTAAATGTAAATAACACTGCACGGCTGCCGCAATCCTGCTCTAAATGTAAATAACACTGCACGGCTGCCGCAATCCTGCTCTAAATGTAAATAACCCCGCACGGCTGCCGCAATCCTGCTCTAAATGTAAATAACACTGCACGGCTGCCGCAATCCTGCTCTAAATGTAAATAACACTGCACGGCTGCCGCAATCCTGCTCTAAATGTAAATAACACTGCACGGCTGCCGCAATCCTGCTCTAAATGTAAATAACCCCGCACGACTGCCGCAATCCTGCTCTAAATGTAAATAACACTGCACGGCTGCCGCAATCCTGCTCTAAATGTAAATAACACTGCACGGCTGCCGCAATCCTGCTCTAAATGTAAATAACACTGCACGGCTGCCGCAATCCTGCTCTAAATGTAAATAACACTGCACGGCTGCCGCAATCCTGCTCTAAATGTAAATAACCCCGCACGACTGCCGCAATCCTGCTCTAAATGTAAATAACACTGCACGGCTGCCGCAATCCTGCTCTAAATGTAAATAACACTGCACGGCTGCCGCAATCCTGCTCTAAATGTAAATAACACTGCACGGCTGCCGCAATCCTGCTCTAAATGTAAATAACCCCGCACGACTGCCGCAATCCTGCTCTAAATGTAAATAACACTGCACGACTACCGCAATCCTGCTCTAAATGTAAATAAGCCCGCACGACAGCCGCAATCCTGCTCTAAATGTAAATAACCACGCACGACTGCCGCAATCCTGCTCTAAATGTAAATAACACTGCACGACTACCGCAATCCTGCTCTAAATGTAAATAACCCCGCACGACTGCCGCAATCCTGCTCTAAATGTAAATAACCCCGCATGACTGCCGCAATCCTGGTCTAAATGCGTATCTATTCTAGACAGTTGAACTTATTGAGGACAGCGCCCTCTGGTGACAGAAATAGTTTTCACGTTATCACAATCTCATTGTCTGGTTTGAGTGGGTTGTCTCAAGTTTCTGTAGCCAGATGAACAAAATAGCATTATTTGTTTCAATCGATATATGTATGTATGTATGTATGTATGTATGTATATGTGTATGTATGTATGTATGTATGTATGTGTGTATGTATGTATTTATGTATGTATGTATGTATATATGTATGTATGTATGTATATATGTATGTATGTATGTATGTATGTTTGTATGTACGTATGTATGTATGTATGTATGTACGTTTGTATGCATGTATTTATGGATGTATGTATGTATGTGTTTTAAGTGTGTTTGTATGTATTATGTAAGTATGCTAGAGTACATGGTAATGAAACATTGTGTGCATTTATATGTATTTTAATTATCTATTTGTGTGTCATATAAAAAAGTATGCTACTCCAGTTATCATAGTAACCAACCAGTGGCGTTGCTAGCGGGGTGGTGGTCAGAATTCGAAAGTCCCCCCGGGTTCCACTGCTCA